CTTATTCAGCATCACAGACTGTAAACACAAGCCATTGCAGTGTTTTGAGTCTGTGGCAGGTTCATAACGGATTTCTACTGTTTTGAAAGCACATAAATAATGTGTGCACTGTAGTTTTGACACATCAAACGTGAAGGCTGAGAACTGAGAGAAGCAAGTGTGAAAAAAGCTGTGATATTCAATGTTTGTCATGGGCTCTTGCTTTCCTTTAGTACTGTATTGTGTGTGTAATGTGAGAAGTATCAAGGGTTTCACAAGCACGTTTTTAGTGCACATCTCCCCTGCTGATGCAGATCAGAAAAGCTCATGCTGTCTTACGCTAAGTCAAGCCAGATACTTGACTCTTGTTCATACTTAGGATTAATAATTTAAACAAACTCCTAATTCTTAGTGCTAAAGTTTGGCTGTTAGCTGTTAGCTTCAAACTGTTGCTGTACCTCAAATCATGCAACTCACATTTATGTTTATGCATTTGGAAGATGCATTTTATCAGTTCACGCATTCCCTGGTAATTGAACCCATGACTTTGCCATCACAATATTTACTTTTAAATTTAAATATTTAAACTTGAATCCAAAGCATTTAAGTTACTCATTCCATCAGTCCAAATGTATCATATTATCAATTAAACCCATGATTTTGGCAATGCCAGTGGGATGATCTATTGTTTGAGTTTCAGTAGCTTGTTGTAAACTGTGTTATAGTTATAGATGTAGCGCATGGACGCTTGTTTACAATTAAGCACCAACCTGGCAACCACCCACAGCTTACAAGCAACTCTATGTGAAATACACAGTTTAAAAAAGAAAAAAAAAAACACCTGTGGTTGCACCAACCAAAATAATGTTCATATACCAAATCCCTAACATCTGTTTTTTACCTACTTGACAGCCACTTTAAACAAACATGGTAAAGAGAAAGTAGCATGACACTAAAACAATGCAATAAACATTAATTTAACAACATAAGATGTAACATAAAACCCTAATGTGCATAAATGATTAAAAAAACTAAGAAACTGTTTCATTAAAAAACATATGCAAAGTGTCACACAGGGAATTCTGGGAATGTTGATTTATGGTTTCCACTGTAAATTCTAAGACGACGACTTGTTTTTCAATTCAAAAACATGAAACTTACAAAATTACATGATATGTACCATTAGATCCATTATAGTTTACAGAAACTTACTGTTAACCAATTTACAGTTTTTAATCATAGGAGTTTTACAGTCTTTACCGTAAAAAAAAAAAAAAAAGTATAACAGTGTCTGCTAATTTGTGAGACTACTTACTGGCCACGTTTACTGTAGCTAAATTCAGGTGTCAATTCAACTTTTACTGCCGAATCCGGTTCTCTGCACAGACACTCCAGTAATTTACGGAAGTGACAACTGCATTCTACAACTGAATGAACTCCTGAAAACCTAATTTACTGAAATTCTACACAGTGTGTACAGCACCAAACTAAACAGCTAGTTGTTAATGACATATTTAAATGCATATCAGAGTTGTGGTGCAAGAAATCACAAGGAGAGAGGCAGGCCCGTAGCCAGCTATGAGGTCCAAACCTCCGTAAATTTTTCATGTTCAAAAATAGGGATGTAACGATTAACCGCGAGCCGGTTGAAAATCGATTTAAATATGTGACGATTCAAATCGGTTGAGATGCTAAACAAATCGCGATTCAATTAGGGGTAGGAGTTTATATGAATGTATGTCTGAGGGGAACTTACTGTTTTTAGAAAGCACATTAAAGTTCATACGTGCAGCGCTGCTTTGTTTACAGCGGAAACCAAGGAAACGCTTTAAGCACCACCTGCTGGCAGAGAGTGAATCTGCGTCTCATTCAGCTCATCTGCTGTTTCTGTTTCATGCAGATATTTTTTATGC